GTGTGTGTGTGTGTGTGTGTGTGTGTGTGCCTCTCATACCGAGTTAGCCTGTCAGTAACTCGGTGAACCCGGAGATGAAAGCAACCGCTGCCGGGTTAGCAGACAAGCATTGCAATTGGACGACCCGTACAGGACATTAAGCACCACCTGTTCATGATTTTATTAAATATATTTTCTTTTTTTTTTTATTTACCCTGCTTCTAACTTCCTCCCAACCCTTTGTGTTTCAGTGCTCAGCTTCCTGCGGGCGAGGTTTCAGGACCCGTAAGGTGAGCTGCGTGGCCGGGTCGGGCCTTTCCATCCCAGAGGAGACGTGCCTGCAGTCCTCCTCCAAACCCAGCAAGCAGAGGCGCTGCAGAGGCGGGCGCTGCCCCAAGTGGAAGACTGGCAGCTGGGGGGAGGTAAAAACAGTTTTATAATTTTTGTTCTCACGCTGCCAGACATGTCAGCGTTTTTTTTTTCCTTTTCGTCTCCTGCTTTTTACACTTTAATGCTTACCAGCTTGTTGCCAAGTGTGTYCATATGTTTGAAACCTGCTCAGCCCAGCCTGGCAGTGTTTACGATCTAAGTCTTGACTTTTTTTTTTTTACACATCACTGAGTGGTTGGCTGGGGTGGGGGGGCAGCAACCAGGCCGGTGTGGCTGTGACACCTCAGCACAGACAGCTGAACAGCTGGAGGGATCTGCACCCCCCGTCTTTGATCTCAAGTCCAGCTAGTGTAAATCTATTCCTCTGCTATGTTTTCCCTCCTCTCCTCCTTTGGTCCTCACCTTCTCCCCTCTGTCCCCTTTTATCTTGTGACTGCTGTCTGTGCTTGCTAACAATGGGAACCACATGTTCACAAAACACACCTGGATGTTTTTTTTCTCTTTTCTCTCCCTTTGTTTCTCTTTCCCTCATCCTCTTTTGCTGAAATCACCCATGCCGCTCTGAACACAGACATGAATGTGCTCCATATGTCAAAGAGGGGATGTGTTTCTGCTCAGAACAGCTGTGGAGCAGGACGAAGGCCAAGAGCAAAGTGATAGTCCTCCCAGGACTTTTAGTCATCAGTCGAGACTTCTACACTCATTAACAAAGAAACAAGTAATTAATCKATCTTAGATGTGCTGAGATGTTTTTTTTTTAAATATATCCATAACTGAATTTATGTTAAAATAACCTTTTTGTAATCCTGCAGGATTAGCTTRCTTTTCGGATGACGCAGCAGTATCTGTAAAGAGACTTAAAAAAGTGTTAATTTAGCTTAAAATAACTGAAATGAACAAGAAAAACAACAAAATCGTGTTAGATGAAAGTCTKATAGATGAACACGTGGTGGTTGAAAAAAGCCGACTTTATGATCCACCATGCTGACTCATCGGTAGGTTTTTTTTCTGTTCCTGCAAAACATGATATGAACATAATATTAAAGTTGCAGTTATTTAAACAGAACGTATTAAAAGGTTCTCATTGCAATGTCACGAAGAACAAAACATATTGTGCTGAAMGAAATAAAAGCCAGACATTTCGTTTTCCTCATCTCAACAGTTTATATGACTTAAAATGAAAAGTTTGCAGGCAAAGTTTATGAATGACTGCCAACGACAGAAGCAAACAGCAGGTATGATGTCCCTGCAAAAGCCATTTGAGGTTAAGAAATCAGACATTTTTAATGTAATAGAACATATTTKACTCTCCGATTTGTTGAATAAAGTACGAAATTTGTGTACATTGAGTGCGTACCTGCATTTCGAAATTGCATATAGCTATAAAACTACTGGTGGAAACTCTCAAATTGCACCGTTTGACATATAGGTTTTGTTTTTATGCTTGATAATCTTTATTAAACCCATTTAAACCTACGTTGTTGAAAAATGTAAAACAAGATTTTAAATATACATTGACTTTGTACCCTGTTAACTGGATAAGAGCTTCAGTTTCTGCTTGAATAAATAAACRAACACTAAGTTTCAAACTTAGCATCAAATCGTATCATAAACATCTTGGCTCATACGTGACATAAAAATTCAAGGTCATGGCTGAAGTCATGTGTTTTCATAGGTAAATCAATARATATACAGATGAAACAATCTAAAACATGAAGTAACAAAGTTTTACCTCCACTCCTTTTTAGTGTTCAGCTACGTGTGGCGACGGAATCCAGCGACGAGAGGTTTTCTGCCAAGTCGGTGACCGCCGCAGTCCTCTGGAGAGCGACTGTCCCCAGCGCTCCCGGCCGCCGTCCAGCCAGACGTGCCGGGTCGCAGACTGCCCCGCTCGGTACCGGTGGAAGGAGGGCGACTGGCAGACAGTGAGTACAGGGGAGAAAACCCGAGAGGTAGAAACCGTGTGCAGTGTGTAGTTCTGCTGCTGGGTCATGAATGAATGTGCTCTGCCATGTGAAGTGGCTGCTGCGCGTCAGGAGGCCAGAGAGGAGCAGAGGAGGGGAGGGCGAAGTGCAGCCAGCCCCCCGGTCAGAGTCAGAGACTGTCCTGTTTTTTTTTTCCTCCCAAAAAATGTTGGCTCAGGTTCAGTTCAGTGCATTAACAAATGCAAGTGGTTGGTGCAGCACCAGTGTTGTATAAAGTACCTCAAAGTGATACTGAGTAAATGTACAAGTATCTTACCAAAAATTACTTGGGTAAAAATCAATATCTCCTTTAGGAATATTACTTGAGTAAAAGTAGTAGTAGTAGTAGTAGTAGTAGTAGTAGTAGTAGTAGTAGTAGTAGTAGTAGTAGTAGTAGTAGTAGTAGTAGTA